GGGCGCCCGGGGGGGGGGGGGGAGGCGGAGGAGGGAGCTGGGGTCTCCACCGCAGCCAAGGCGAGCCTGGTCACGCCCTCGCTACCAAACGCTGTGGGGTGCTCCCAGCTCTCAGGTGGGGAGTCCACCCCCCGCCCCGTGGCTGGCTGGGGCTGCAGGCGCTGGGCGCCCCCATCTCCCACCCTGGGGTTGGGCTTCCCGCTACTCCCCAGCCACCAGTTCCCTCCAGGACAGGAAAAGGTTAGCGGGCTCAGGGGGCTGGGCCAGCACACTGGGGGTGCAGGCTGCTGGGGAGCACGCACCCAGTCACGGGTTGGGACACGTGTGCAAAGGAATGTGTTTCTGGGTGTGTGGGGGTGCGTGCTAGTGTCTGGGGGTGTCTTCTGCTTGTGCACAAGCATGCGGCGGGGGGTACCAGGCATCCTCTGGGTCCCCTTGGGGTCAATAGCTGCTAAGACAGCTCCTGAACAAGCCCCCCGCCCCCACGCCCAGGTGACTGATCTGAAGAGGGAGTGTGGGCACCTCCGGAGTCCAGGGCCCTGGCGGGGAGATGGGCACCAGGCGGCACAGCTGTGTGGCTCCCAGGGCTGGGTGATCGATGGCCCCAGCACAGCCGCCTCTGTCTCCCAAGCACATGTGCCCATTTGTCATCTGTCTCTCGGGGAGGGTTCGGGGGACAGGGATGGGGCCCACCTCTGCACCCACTGCCAAGTCCAAGAGGGTCTACAGCCCCTCGGGGAGCCTGCCCCCTCCTCCCAACCCCTCACCTCTCTCTGAGCCCCATCCCCTGCGGGACATGGACAGGCGGACCACGCAGGCCCTGCGGGCTTGCCCCACCCTGCGCACCCCGGTGGTTGCCATGCCCACCACCCTCTGAAGGGCCCCTGCAGATGGGCAGCCCTCTCCACCCCCCCCCTCCGGCCGTCCCCGCACTGGGGGTGCCCTCCCGCTGTTTGGGGACAGCAGACATGACTGCCTGCTGTGTGCAGAGCCTGAAGGCTGGTGAGGAGACCGGCTGCCCCACTCCCCCAGCCCTGCCCTGCTCAACCCACTGGCCATCCCTGAGCCCTGGGGGAAAGGGCGAGTGTATGTGCGTCCACACCTGTAAGAGGGTCCTCGGATGTGTATGTGCACACTCACCTGAGTGTGTCCGAGTGCCTACTCACACCCTGGCTCTGCTGTGAGTGCTTTCATGTTCACAGCCGCTGTGCCCACTCTGAGTAGCGTGTGAGCCCCACAGTGTGTGTGCACGCGTGTGTGCGCGTGGCGGTGGGTGAGCTCACTGGCCGCATGCATCTTGGCGGCCGACTCTGTTCCCAGTCAGCCCAGCCGTGCAGAAGCCGCACCTCCAGGCTCTGGGTAAGGGCTCGTCTGGAGCCTTGCAACGCTTGTGTGCACAGACCCGAAGCCGGTGTGCGCACGCTCACGGTGGGCCCCATGCAGGCGCGCGCTGGGGCGGTGGAGGGCCCAGGTGGCGGCCCAGATGGAGTGTGGAGCGGCTTGCGAGCAAGTGTGTGGGGCGTGGGGAGAGGAGGGTCTTGGCTGAGCGTGGCCGCTGCGGGCTCGGCCGCTGACCTGCCTGAAGCCACCCAGATGGAGCCGGGCTGAGCAGGTGGCCATGCCGTAGGGCCGCGCTGTGCCATCCACGCCCCCCAGCCTGGCCTGGCCCCGTGGGAGGCTGACCCCCTCAGGGACCCGCACTGCGCACCCAGCACCCTGCCCAAGCAGGAACACACACGCACACACCCCACACACACACATACATGCGCACACAGTGCTAGTGAGACTCAGAGCCCGCTGCCGGTGTCTCATCTAGGCAGCTTTTATCTCTGCTTCCCAGCGTGGCCTCTGGAGGGGAGCGAGACGATGAAGGGCTGGTGTCCCAGGAACGGGCCTCCTCAGACCTGGCTTCCAGTCACTCACCAAATGCCCATCGGGCAGACGGATAGATGGAAACTCAGGCGCGGGTGGACGGATTCATCCCCAAAATGGACCCACTGGGGGCTGATGGGCATGGTGGGGGGTGGCGATGAGCACAGGGCCCGCCGAGAAATATGGGATGCTTAGTCAGCCTTAGACTTCAGATACGCGATGGGGGTGTTGTAGCGTACATTCCGAATATCGGCTGGAACATACTTCCACTACAGAAGTATTTGCTGTTTACCCAAGTCGGATTTAACTGGTGTCTTGCATTTTTATCTGCCACATCTGGTGCCCCTAGTTGTGGGCGGGGAGCAGAACGGAGGATGTGGCGGGGGCGGGGCGGGGGGGGAACAGGCCAGGCATCAGGGCTGCAGGGTGGCCGGTGCCCGTGCCCCTGGGGCCTGTCCTTGGCGCTGACCGGCCTCCCCTCCCCCCGCCCCTCCTGCGCACAGGTGGCCATGGCCCCGGGCCCCGCCTGCTAGCAGGTCACCATGTCCCGCGAGGCGGGCTCCTGCCGCCCCGGCCCAGGGGCGCGGGTGAGGGCTCGCAAGCCCAAGAAGCCGCACTACATCCCGCGGCCGTGGGGCAAGCCCTACAACTATAAGTGCTTCCAGTGCCCCTTCACCTGCCTGGAGAAGTCGCACCTCTACAACCACATGAAGTACAGCCTCTGCAAGGACTCGCTCTCACTGCTGCTCGACTCCCCGCACGGGGCTTGCCGCCGCACCCCCGCCGCGCCCCGGCCCCGCGTGCCCAGCCCCGACCGCCCCTCGGGGCCCCCCGCCGCCGCCGCCGCATCCGACCGGACCCCCGAAGTCCTCTCCCTGCACCCTCACGCCGGGGGCCCTAAGCTGGGGGCAGAGAGGTCCCCTGCAGCCCGGGGTGCTCAGAAGGGTGTGGCCCTGGGCGGGCTCCCGGCCGAGTCCTGGAAGCCCGGGCCGAGCCGGGGCCCTGGGGGCCTGGCTGTGCTGGACGCAGCCGCACCGGGCCCTGAGACCAGGGTCCCCTGCCACCCCCCGCCGACCCCCAGTGAGCTCCCTGAGGCCCAGAGCCTCCATCTGTCCCTGCTGGGTGTCAACTGCCCTCTCGCCCCGGGTCTCTTCTCCTGCCTGGGGCCCTCCTTGGCCGCTGCGGCCCACATGCCCTTTCTGGCCCCGGCCAGCCCCCTGCTGACACCGGCTTCCACTGTCCCTCCCCCACAAGCCGACCGCCCTGCCCTGGTGCCCCGCCTGTACTACCCCCTGCTCCTGGAGCATGCCCTGGGGCTGCCAGCAGGCAAGGCTGCCCCTGCCAAGCCCCCAGCACCCCCAAAGGGGCCCCCTGGGACTCTGGCCCCTGGGCTGGGCAGGCCCTGGCCCCGCGGCGGAGCCCCTACGGACTCAGGGCCGGGGGGGGAGCTGGAGCTGGCTGCCCAGACTGACCCCAAGAGGAGGCTGCCCCTGGGAAGCGGCCTGGACCCCCTGAAGGGCCCCTGTGGCGCGGTGAAGTTTGGCTCCCAGAGCAGGTAGGTGTTGGGGCCCCTGGCATGGGGGCTGGGAGCTGGCCCTGGTGGGAGGCGAGCTGGCCAGGGCGGCTGGGCCCCCTTCTAAGTTTACTTGCTGAGAATGTGGGCTTCAGCCTACAGAGGGGAAGCCAAGGCCCTCAGCCAGGCTGAAAGGGGTTGGGGGGACCACGGGGCATGTGGGGCAGGGACTGGGCACACGGCGAGGTGCAGTGCGGCCTCTTGACCGGCTTCTACCCCCTAGCTTGCGTGCTGGCTCCTCCACGATGCTCTGGCCTGAGGACAAGGACCCAAGCAACCCCGAGCCCCCAGGCCCTGGGGCCCTCCTGCCCCAGCAGCCCCTGGGTCTAGTGCCAGGTGGCCCAGGGCACATGGGTGACGACCTGACTCGGGCCCTGGGTGACTATGCCAGAGTGGAGCAGCGCCTGGGGCAGCTGGCGCCTGCTGGGGGCCTGGCCCCTCGGCCTCTGCGGGAGCAGCTGGGCAAGATCCGCCAGGAGCTGCTCATCATCCACCAGGCACTGGAGCGGGCTGTTCGGCCGCCAGATGCACCCCTCGACCTCTCTGTGAAGCGGGTGTCCACCAAGGGGCCCAAGGGGCCTGTGGGGCCCTGGGGGCAGCTAGAGCTGGGCCCCACACTCGCCCAGGGGACCCCCGAGCCACCTAGCATGCTGGGCCCTGCACCCGCTGAGCCTTTCTCCGGCCACACCACCAAGTGTGAGGCTGACTCCAGTGTCCCCCCTCCGGGCCTCCCCCTTCCGGCCCCAGAGGACCCTGTCACCCCTGGCAGCAGCTGGGGTGCCCGTGGCGGGCCTGCAGGCTCCTGGCCCCCTGAGGCTGTCCCTGGTGCCGAGGTCTCACCACAGCCTCGGTGCTAGCTCTGCTCTTCACAGGGAGGCCCCCCTCTCCACCCCCGCGTCCGCTGCCTGGGCCCCCGCCTGCCCCAGCCCCGGGGCTGTGGCCTAGAGCCTGTCCCGCATGCCCGTGGACTGACGTGCCATGGCTGTGGCCTATCTCTGCGGCCACGAGGGACAGCGGAGGGTCATAGCTACCTACTGATCTCAATAGTGGGTGTTAAAATAAAAACCATCTTCACACCGCCTGTCTGGGCCTCCTTCTTCCCCCGGCGCTCCAGCGTCACCACCGGGACACTCTCGGCCCTGGGAGTGTCCCCAGCCTCAGCATCTGAGGCGGGCAGTGTCCTGGGCCTCTGGGTATCCACCCTCAGGCCCTGACCTGCCTGCTGCAGGCCGGATCCTCCCCGGGAGAGCCGGAGTCTGAAAACCAAACGGGGGGGGGCTTTCCATCGGGGGCGGGGGTAAAGCAAGCAGAGGTGGGGAGGTACGTGCACACGGTCTGGGGGCTAGCCAGGCCTGTGTTTCGCACGCGGGTGGTGGACAGGGACCCCTGGGCCGGCCTCCAGCCCCCGCGTCTGGCAGGGCAGCCCTAATGTTAGGTTCATGCTGGAGGCTGCTCCCTCTGTGGTTAAATGGTGCACCCACATTCCGTGGCCCGGGGCTGCTTGCCCAGCGTGGCCTTCGCTGGCCCCCCGCCAGCCCCTGCAGCCACGATAGGCATCGGGTGGCCTTCACAGCTCACTGCCTCCCTCCCTGCACGGACACACTTGGCCTTTCCCACAGGCAGGGGCGGGGGGCAGAGAGGGAGGGGCCGGGGGGGGGGCCCTGGGACCCAGCTAATCACTCCTCTCTCCTGGGAGCTGGCCATACCTTTGTGCCCACCCAGGAGTGGCCCCAGGGAGGGCAGTCCCTCCCTGTTCCCCCAGCCGGGCCGGCCGGGCTGGGGCCGGTCCGAGCAGGACCCACGGCTGCCCCATTAAGTGGGCCAGGCAGCAGATAGCATCGCAGTCCACCCCACCGCGGGGCACCAGGAGGCCAAGTCCAGAGCCAGCGTGTGAGCCAGCCGGGTGGGAAGTGCTGGGAGCCACAGACAGGGGCTGACCCCGCCCCCGCCTGCCGGGGGCTTCCTGGCGGGGCCGCGGGGGCTGCGGGGGCTGTGGGCTGAGTCGGGAGTTGTCGTCGGGAGGCCTGGCCCTCCTTGGCTCTCTGTCGGCACCCCCTTGTCTGCTGCACCCAGATTGCTCATCACCCCCCAGCAGACCTGAGCTTAGGGGCATCGGCCCAGTTTCCCAGGTGTAGAAACAAGATCAAAGACGCAGGACGCAGCCCCGCAGGTTTGGGGGAGCAGGATGAAGCCCCGGAGGCTCCCCGCCCCAGACTGTGCTGAGAGCCAGGTGCAGCGTGCAGCCCCTTCCTCAGGGTCCCGCCCGTGATTGTGCCCGGCCCAGTGCCCCCTGAGCAGCAAACCCACGAATTACATTAGGGCGGGTTGGGAGGGCTGTGTGGGCCTCCCTGAAGGGTGGGCTGGGCTCCGGACCAGGTGGGGGCAGTGGGAAGAAGGTCCCAGAAGCCGGCAGGAAGTACCCTAGGCAGGAATGCGGCAGCACTGGGGCGCCTCCAGGGGGGTTAGCGGCTCAGGGCCTCACAGAGCTTCCTTGGGCCGCTGCTCAGACATGCACTTGGCCAGAGGCCTGCCCCCCCGCCCCCGCCTGCCGTGCCAGCCTCAAGGCGGCCCCTCCCTCAGACTCCAGTTTCTAACAACAGAGGCTGCTGCTGCCGGAGCAGGGCCCGGGGAGACTAGCCCAGGTAGGAGGCCCCCCACCCAGCCTCTCTGGGCGCTAGCAGGCAGAGGCCCAGGAAAGGCCCCCTGCCTAACCCTTCAGGGGTCGGAAGTTTCCAGGGGCTTTGTGGGGACAAGGGCAGACCCTTGGACTGCCCCCAAGAAGAGTCATCTTCTCTGCCTGAGGGAAGGCAGGGTTCCTTGGGCAGATGAGTTGGAGAAAGACTGCCCATCTGTCACCCACCCCCACCCCCACCACCTCGGGACCTCCCAAGGCCTGCGAGCTCATCCGGGCCTCAGAGAAAAACCCACCCAACCTCCGCAGGCCCGTGTCTCCCAGGGGCCACATCTGGGAAAAGGGGTCCGCTGCCAGGCTGGCGGACTGTGGCAGCACTCGGGACCTGTGGGACCGGGTGTGAATCCGGCTCCCCACCGCCATGCCTCAGGCTCCTCGTGTGTAAAGCAGGAGGGACCCCGGGAGGGGGGAGGGGGGAGGGGGGAGGCCCTGCTCGGCCCACAGCAGACATCATTTCTCTCGCAGCCCCACACCCGGCCCCGCCGCAGGGACTCAGCTCAGAGGGGCCGAGACTGATCTCTGTCCACCACCTCGCTGTCCCCGGCCTCCCCGGCCCAGCTGCCCCTAGAGCTGGCCCCGCCCGGAGGCCCCCCCCGCCCCCGGCAGCCCCGGCTGCTCGGACGGATCCCAGTGCCGGTGGGGGCTGCGGGGGCCCCCCGGGGTCTGCACTGCTCCCCGGACGGCCTGCTCTTCCTGACGGCCGGGGCTGCGCCCTGCGTCTACGTGATGGACCTCGAGGGACGTTCCATCTGCCACCTGCCCTGCCATCTGCCAGGGGCCGGGGCCTTCGTGCCGGAGGACGTTGCTGTGACGGCTGCTGGGCTCGTGGTGGTCAGCGATCTCGTCCGTGGGGCTGTCCGTGCGCTTCAGCATGCCGCCCGGGCCCCCCAAGGCCGCTGGGTCACGGTGGGCACCTACCCGGCCCCCCGGGGACTGGCCGTGGATGCCGCTGGCCGCCTTCTGGTGACAGACTATGCACTTGGGGCTGTGCACAGCCTCACACTGAGCCCCGCCTTGGAGCCACTGGCCCCAGCCTCCATGCCGGGTCTGCAGGGCCCGTGCTGGGTGGGCCCAGGGCCTGACGGGGGCCTCGCTGTGAGTGAGGAGTTTGGGGACGTGTGGCTGTTCGGCAGTGCCTGCCAGCCCCTGGGCTCCCTAGGGGGTCTCACAGGGCACGCTTTTGGGAACCCAGCAGGCGTATGCACTGATGTGGAGGGTGGTGTCATTGTGGCAGATGAGCAAGGGCGCCGTGTGACCCGATTTCCTCGGGCCAGGGCGCCCGTCTGCCTGGTGTCCGAGGGGCTGGGGCGGCCCCTGGGTGTGGCCTGTGCCCCTCAGGGCCAGCTCGTGGTGGCAGATGCAGGAGACAACTGCATCAAGGTGTACCAGTACCACTCGGAGCCGGCCTGACCCGTGCGCTCGGCTGGGAGCAGCCCCTCAGTGCATGTGGGCCCAGCCCCCAGGGCCCCAGACCACTGTGGGAGGGACATTCAGGGTGGTGGGGTCCTCCAGGGTGCCGGCCGTGCCTTTCTGATGGGACACATGGGCTGACATTTACTGAGCACCCGGTGTGCCAGGCCCTGGGCTGGCCCCTGTCTTCCTCTTGGAGAGGATTTAGACTTGCCGCAAACCTGCCGCCTCCCAGCCTCCCCGACAAGGGGCACAGCCTCCAACGTTGGGTCCTCTCCACACACCAGTTTAGTAGGCACCAAAACTCCCTGCCCCCATGTCAGCTCAGGCCCTGGTCCTGCTGGCTCAGGGCCTGGGATGCCTGAGCTTTGACACCAGCAGCTGAAGCCTGGAGATCGTTGATGTGTTGGGCTGGGTGCCCCAGCCTCCTAATCAGACAGAAGCAGGCAGGGAAGACTAGGCTGGGCTGGGCTGGGCTGGGCAGGGGTCTGGCTCCTCACTGTTCCCCATCCTCAGAGGCACCCCAGACGCCAAGCCTCTTGCAGCTCCTCTGGGCCTAACTGAGGTAAGGGAAAGCAGAGGAGAGTCCACCACTGAGGCACCTTGGGGTGGCACGTGGCTGGGCTGGGAGCCTCCACACCCCCAGCCTCCTGCTCCCGTGTAAGACTATCTCTCAGGGTGAACCTTCGCTTTCTCCTCTGCAGGCTCTCCAAGCTCATGGGTGGGGGGTGCTGGGAAGATTCCAGACTGCAGTCAAGACAGGGGAGCCTTCCTATGAGGAGAGATTCCTGTTACTTGAGAACAATGGGCAAACGAGGCCCCAGAGGGACGGGAGGTGAGGGCTTCCTCTGAGTCTGGGGCCCAGGAGGTCCCCAGTTCCAGTGGGGGGACTCTTTGGGAGGGGACAGTACCTGGTCCAGTCTGTCACCAGGAGAATGCCTCTGTCTGACAAAGTCCCCTTCATATGTTCCAGCCCCTGTGGATGGCGGGATTAAGGGGTCAATGTAAGGAGGCATGTGCCATAGATACTCAATAAACGTTATCCCTTGCTGCTGGTGTTAGGGGTATTGTCCCCTGGGGCACGAGAGGCCAGGGACACCTCTGGCGACCAAACCAGTTGGTGCAGCCTTTCTAGCCCACTTAGCCCTGAGGGGACCTGGGGGCGTCCCTTTGCAGAGACCCCTTTGGAGGCGCCAGCCTGGGGCTGGGGAGGCAGCTCCTTTTGCGACCGCACACAGGGTTTGGGGGTGCTTTCACCCTTGGAGGGTGGTGGCCAGGTGAGGTTGGGGACCCTCAAAAGCCAGATCCACTGGGTCCCTCAGATGAGAAAACGGGGGAGGTTTGGCAGCTGTGAGAAGTTGGGGGACTGGAAGGCGGTGGTGTTGGGGACACCGCGGGTGGACTTGGAGGGGGTACAAGAGCTGGGGAGGGGACACGGATGCCGCACAGGCCACCGACTCCCGGGACTGGAACGTTGCAGACGCGGAACGCTCGGGCGGGGCCGACGGGCAGGTCGGGCGCCTTTGGGGACCGGACCGTCGCGCGGCAACGCCGGGAGCCGGCGGAAATGGGGCTCGTGTCCCGCGGCGCGGCCGCGGCGGGGCTGGGGGCCGCGAGCGCTGTCGTCCTCCCGGGCCCGCCCGACGCGGTCCCCGACCGCATCTCGACCTCGCCGCCCGAGGGCGCGGCCCCGGGGAGCAGCCGGTGAGCATTCGGGGGCGAGGCGGGGTCCGTGCGGTGTGACCTTGGGGCGCCCCCCCCCCCCCGCCCCGGGGCTGTGGGCCCTGACTCCCCGGGCGGGGCGGGCCGGTCGCCGCTGCAGCCTCTGTTTCCTTGTCCGTAAAGTGGGGCCCGGGAGAGGCCGCTGGGCGCGCTTTGCGCGGAGCCTGGTTGCGGCGCGCTCGCCGCGGGCCGGGCCCGCGCTCTGGACCCTTCGGAAGGGCGTTCAGGGTCCGCAAACGCGCCTCGGAGCTCGCCGGCGGCCCGACCGCGGGCAGGGCGCCTGGGGGCCCAGTCGGTAGGGCGGGCCACGGTTCGGGGGCGGAGGGGCGAGGTTCAAGCCCCACGTTGGGCCTAGAGCTTACTTAAAAAAAAAAACAAAGAAACACCAAAAAACCCAAAAACAGAATCGTAGACTCCGTTCTTGTGCTGTGACTGAGAGAAAGCACTGTGTATCGGACGCAGGGGGAGAATTGTTGGTTTCTTAAGCACAAACGACATGGAGTAAAAGTGAATGTTTGTGTTACGGAGGAGCCTCGAACGGGGAGGCTTGTCAGAGGAGGCTCCGGCCAGTGAGCTGCCCCCCCCCCCCCCAGCCCCCAGTCCCCTCTGCACTTTTCCCCAGCAGCCGCTCATGCACCACCCCGCCCGGGAGACCCTGTGGATGTCCCAGCTCCGGGGACCTGTCACCAGATAGATCTGGGACATCCGGAAGCGCACTCGCTGGCATTGCTAACAGAGGAGGCTTCCTGGGCCAGCGCCCTTGCTCTGTATTGCCGCCTCCAAGAGGAGCGCCTTGTCCAAGTTACTGCCCTCCCCTCTCCGCACCCCTGCTATCGATTGCCTGCTCTTTCTTCTTTCTCTGGATGTCTGATCTGAGTAGACTTGTCTGTGTTCATCCCTCCCAGAGGCTGAGGCAGGGGTGCGGGTGGGAATCCGCCTGTGATGTGTGAAGACTCCTCTCTCGCTGCCCCACAGATAAGAACGCCAGCCTCTGCCCTCTGCTCTCTTCCTTCCACGCGAGGGGCTTTTTCTTCTTCTTCTTCCTCCCGAGGCAGACTTTGTAGATGAAGCATAACACGTACAAAGAAAATGCACGCACCGTATGCGCACAACTCTGAAGTTTCCCGAAGTGAAAACACCTTTGTTCCAACAGATGCAGCTTCTCCCCCCAGAGCCTCTGTTTGCTTTTGGGCCAATTGTTCTTTTTCAGCAGTAGCTATGGGTGCTTTTCTTTGGGTCCCATGGAAGGGGTCCCCAAGCAGGGCGTGAGGGTGTCACTTGACCGAGCTGGTGTGTCTCAACGGGCTGGCACTGAGAGGCTCAGACTGGGATGTCTGGTCCCCCTGTGGGTCACCAAGCCAGAGCTGCTGGCTTCCTCCCAGGTCTCACAATGGCCCCTGTCCAGAGGGTCAGGAGGAGAACTTGGCCCTCGATGCCCTTGATAGTGGCCGCAGGGATTTGGCCCAGGCTGCTGTGGGACTCCAGGCCGTCCCCTCCTGGCATCTGCTGCTGGCTTCCCTTTCCAGTCGCTTGGTGAGGAGGGGGCGTTTGGGAGTCCTGCTGCTCTGCCCGGAAGGACGCTCCTCAGCTGGAACCCACAGCTGCGGGAAGCCCCCTGTATAACTGGCGGGGAGAGGCCCCTACCTTCCAGCCCCAGTCTGGGCCCCTGCAGGGGAGGAAAGCAGCCATACCAGTGATGTCCTGAGCCCTGGTCTTTGTGTCTGTGGAAGGCCCTTCCCAGAGCCCCCCAACAGATTGGCAAAGGGTGAAATGTCCTGCCGTCCCAACACATATGTCCCCGAGGACCTGGTGAGACGTGGGCTTCGTCCCAGGCCTGTGTCCCTCCCTCAGGTACGGGCTCCAGCTTGGGGGTTGCACGCGGGGCGGCTGCTGTGCTCCTCGTGCTGCCAAGGTTGAGGGGGGCAGTGTCTGAGAAGGAGCGGGCTCCAAGGTGAAGCCCTCAGTGCTCTGCTGGGTGAGGGCCTGTCACCCACCCGGTCCCGTCTGGGAGGGGCTGCTCGGAGACCCGCGTCCCTGGTCAGGTTACCTCTGGGCAAGGCAAGGCTTGAGGTCTCCCAGAATTCAGGAGTCACAGCCACTTGGGGCCGTTCTTGGTGCTTAGGGGCCGTGTGAAGGTTGTGAGAGGCCAGGAAGGCTGGTACCCCCTGCTGGAGAGAAAACGGGGGGGGGGGGCGCCATTCTCCAGGATCCTCATGTCTAGATGGCTGCCTCGCCCAACTGTGACAAGAGGAAGCAGGCCCCCTGCCGGGAACCCAGTGACGGTGACATGGCGACAGGCACAGCCCAGAGCGGCTCCTCTGGTGCATTATGGGGCTCCCTCACCCGTGCCTGCGGCCGCCAGCAACATACCTACATAGGGTTCCCTCAGCCCAGCAGTTACGCGTTTAAACTGTCGTCTTCAGTCTTTCTCGCTTAGTGAGTAAATCGAGGTTCATTAGGCTGCTGTGTGCGTTACCTTCATTGTTAAAGAGATCAGACGTTTTCCACATGCTGCACATAGAAAACTCTCATCACTTTCTTTGAAAACAAGAATTAAACCTTCGTGTTCAGCCCTGCACACCCTTCGCAGCCTCGCCCTGTTTCTGCCTGCTTGTCTCTGAAACGGGGAGGACGGTACCCGGCCTGGGACGGGGGCGGTGGCGACGCCTCCGCAACCCAGCCAGAGGCTGCGGGGGCCGGGAGGCCGTGGCCGGAGGCGGCGGCGACCCTGAGCGGAGCCCCTCCCCTCTCTTCCAGCTCCCGGCATGGTGCTCAAGGCCTTCTTCCCCACGTGCTGCGCCTCGGCTGACAGCGGCCTGCTGGTGGGGCGCTGGGTCCCGGAGCAGAGCAGCGCCGTGGTCCTGGCGGTAGTGCACTTTCCCTTCGTCCCCGTCCAGGTGAAGGAGCTCCTGGCTCAGGCGCGCCAGGCCAGCCGGGTGGGGGTGGCCGTGCTGGGCACCTGGAGTCACCGCCGCCAGGAGGCTGCGGAGAGCCTGGGCCGCTTCCTGGAGGGCCTGGGCGCCATCTTCTCCCACGAGCCCTGGCTCCAGCTGTGCCGGGAGAGGGGCAGCAAGTCCTGGAGCTGCACGGCCACCCGCCGGCAGGTGCCCGCCTGCCCCAGCGCCCCCCATGAGGACCAGGTCATGCTTGTCTTCTACGACCAGCGCAAGGTACTGCTGTCCCAGCTGCACCCGCCCGCGGCCCTGCCCGACCGCCAGGCCGGCGATGCCACGGCCAGTGCCGGCGGCTTGGCTGCCGTCTTTGACACGGTGGCGCGCAGCGAGGCCCTCTTCCGAAGTGACCGGTTCGACGAGAGCCCCATGCGGTTGAGCCACTGGCAGTCGGAGGGCGTGGAGGCCAGCATCCTGGCAGAGCTGGCGAAGCGCGCCTCGGGGCCCATCTGCCTGCTGCTGGCCTGCCTGCTGTCGCTTGTCTCAGCCACCAGCGCCTGCCGGTAGGTGCCGCTGGGGCCGGGGCGGGAGGAAGTCAGGCCCTGAGCCCCAGCCCCGCCTCCGCCTGCCGAGGCTCCAGCTCCCCCCAGGCCCCTGCTCTCACCCCCTGCTCCCTCCCTGGGCGTCTCCCAGGGCATCTGAGTGGCGGTTGCTGTTCGGTGCCCCTTGCTCCCTGGGCGGCACCTGCTTCCTCGGCAGCCTCAGCAGCTGCGTGGAACCCCACCGGGCACGGGTCAGAGTGGACTTCAGGCAGCTCGGTCCCTTACATGGGGAATCCGACCGCGAGCGGGCCCAGGTCATTGCCGCCTGAGGGCTGCCATCTTCCCTGCCTGGCGCCCAGGAGTTGTTTGTGCCGGAGGCCAGCTGGTCCCGCCCGCTCGCTGGCGCCTGTGGGTCTGGGGTGGTGGTCCCCAGCCTTGGCTGTTCTCTACGATGGCCTGAGCTATTTCTGGCTGCCGACCTGGCTGAGGGATTTATAAAAGACCTTGAGGGCCCTAGGGGATGCTGGCGCCTGTGAGAGGCCGGCTCCCCGCCAGCACCCCGACTTACGTCCCGCGATTCTGGCTGTTGGGTTTGGGGACCGGCCTCCCCTGCTCACCAAGGGCCGCGGGGTGCTGGGGCCTGTGCTGGCAGAGAGCCCTTGGCGGCTGCGTATGGATAGCGCCTCGGGTTGAGGGCTGTGGGGGATCTGGACACGCAGGGTGGGTTTGGATCTTCGCTGCCCCCCGGATGAGTTCCGGGAACGTGCGTGTCAGCCAAGGTACGGTTTGGGCAGAGATGGTCCTCAGCTTTTATCAGCTTTCAGAGGACTCAACAGAGGTTCACAGGGGCTTGTGTGGCCCGGATCCTGATTAGCCCATCAGGTTAGAGCACGGGGACAGGCAGAGCCGTTACTGTGTGCGGGTGAAGCCCCCTCTTCCCCTTCAGCAGCCCCAGGGTGCTGGAGGGCTCTGGCCACCCCAGGCTGGTGGGAGCCTCGGGGACACGGCTGCGCGGGCGGGGGTCTCTGTGCAGACTGTGCGGGGCTGCCTTCCAGCTGACTGGGGTTCAGGGGCAGTGTGCTGAGCACGTCTCATCCCTGGACTCGGCTCAGAACTGCTCTGTGACCTCCTCCTTCCTCCTGAGGGCCCAGCACTCAGCTTGTTGGCGGCGCTGTGCCCTGCGGGCACCTGAGGGCAGCGGCAGGGACTGTGTAGAAGCGGAGACCCTGGAGTGAGGCTGAGTTGCGATGGGCACTTTGCTTACACATATCTCCCTTCAGTGTCCCAGTGCTGCAGAAGCATCTCAGGGCTTCCTTTGCCTTGAGAGAAATCCCGTCTCCTTGGGCAGCCCGGGGACCCTTGATGAGGGTCACCTGTCCAGCGGGGCACATTCTCTCCATTCCTGGGGCAAGGTCTCGGCCCTTGGCTTTGAGTGTGCCCCGGGTCACTGCTTTGTGAGAGGTCAGGTTCCCAGTTAACGTCCGGGAGCGCGTCGTGATCCTCTCTGGGCTGCCTGCCTGTGCCCCCCACCCCCCTGTGTGCCTGTGCTGCTGAGTTCAGGAGTGCAGCCATCAGTGTTCGGGGACCTTCAGGGCTTGAGTCGAGCCTGGTGACGGCACCAGCCGAGGGGGCCCTTGCTCCTTGGCAGACAGGGAGCCCCAGCTGAGGGTGCACGTCTCTTGGCTCCCTCACAGGGTGTTCCATCTGTGGCCCCTGTCCTTCCTCTGGAGCAAGCTCTCCACATGCGAGCAGCTCAGGCACCGGCTGGAGCAGCTCACGCTCGTCTTCAGCACCCAGAAGGCCGAGAACGCCACCCAGCTGATGAGGTGCCGGGCCCACCTGGGTCTCTACCACAGCTTCCGGTTTTGCCACCGACCCATGCCCCCCCCGCGCCCCCCTCCCACTTCTCTGCACCCAGGGACCCTTTTGGGGCTGCCCCCCCTCCCCACCCACTCCCGTTGGGCTTCTCTTTCCAGAAAGGCCAATGTGCTTGTCTCTGTGCTTCTCGATGTGGCCCTTGGTCTTGCGCTGCTGTCCTGGCTTCATGGGAAGGACCGGATCGGACAGCTGGCAGAGGCGCTTGTCCCCGTGGCTGACGTGAGTTGGTTGTATGGAGCCCGGTGTGTCCCAGGGATGGCGGGGGCGGGGGCGGGGGGGGGGGCCCTTCCTGGGGGCAGCAGAGGCCCGTCTGCCAGCGAGAGCAGCGTTGTCCTTTCTCTCTGTCGGGCCAGTAAGCGGCCTTTGTCCTTGACCCCAGATGGGTCCCCTAGGAGCCACTGTGCCTCACTGAGTCCCCGGGGCTGCACCCGGCTCACCAGGCGCCCACCTGCCCCTCCCAGGTCACCGCTAGCTCCTGGCCTTTACCTTCCTTTCCCAAAGGTAGTCGTGCCTGGGACCAGCTTGCAGCTGAGGCTTTTGGGGGAGCCCACCTCCCCCCGTCAGGCCCAGCAGCCCCGGCTCCTGGCTCTCAGGGGCAGCCAGCTTTGGCTTGGGCCCTCCGCACAGTGAGCATCGCGGAAACCTTCCGCGTGTCCAGGGCTCCGCGTGCAGGCAGGCCGTTCCCACTGCTGACTTCGAGGTTCCCATGCTGGTGCCGGGCCACCAGCTCGTCGGTGGGGCTCCCTCCTCTTCCTCCCTGGCCCTCCCCTCAGCTTCTACCCTGCTGCACTCTTGTGCCAGCGCTAAAAGTGCCTTCGGCCTCTCTGCCTCCCGTTCTCGGAGCCGCAGGCGCTGTCGCTCCTGTTGGGGCTGGTCTCCCTGCTGAGAGCAGTCCCTCTGGCCCCTTGGGCCTCCCTCACGCCTCCTGGCCCTGGCGTGGTCCTTGTGCACGCTGCCCCAGCCGCGGCTGCCCACTGGCCTCCTCGTGGGCAGGAGCCCCCACAGCCCGGGAGCCCCGTGGCTTCTCTGGGCGGCCTCGTCCGAGAGAGGGAGGGAAGAGGCCTGGAGGCCGGGAAGGGGGCTTGGCCACTTCACTTTGCTCATCCACGCTCTGCCTCTCGGCCGGCTTCATCTTACACTTCCCTTTTGCAGAATTGCACAGAAATATAAATATTTAATTTAAAAATGAAAGCTTCTTCCTGCCGCCTAGCTCTTAACCTTTAAATATTAGATAAGCTCTATTTATAAAGAATGCCTTGCTCCTGACATGGCTGAGGCCTTTCTAGGTCCGCACAGTGGGCAGGAGGGGTGGCAGGTCGGTACTGTGGGGCAGGGACGTCACCACTGTGACCCCAGCATTGTTGATGAGGCTGAGGGTCCTCAGGGCCTGTGCGCTGGGACGGGCAAAGTGCCTGGACATCAGCCTCCTCCTTGGGCAGCCAGGATGTGGCTCAGCGGCCCTGCTTGTGTGTCTCTGGCTCTCACTCAACATTGCTGATGACTCACATCCCACCCATCCTTTTTTCTGGGGGACGCTCCAGCCTTCTCATGGGTACCTGGGCCCCCGATGGGCTCGCCATCACCCTTCAAGGTTACCTGAGGTCACCCCTCGCTCCCCTGGACAAGTGGGGTGCTAGGTGGGGGAGTGCCAGGTGGTAGGGTGGGGTCCTCAGCGGAGGGGCACCGTAGACCCATCGGCTCCCCCTACAAGATTCGTGGTAAGCTGGGGTCTGTCCCACCTCTGGGCATATGGGGCTGAGCACTCCTGTGGGTCTGGTGGCAAGGGGGTTGGGATGCAGGAAAGGGTGATAGCCATCAGGGCCCTCATGTCCAGAGGGCGAGGGGAAGACTATGAGCCTCATAGACTGTGCCTCTCAGCTGATCCCAGAGCATCTGCAAAGAGGGGTTCCCTGGGCAGGTAAGTATGGGAAAGCTTGTGTGCCCGTCATGGCAGGAGACCCCCGGAAGGAGGCACCCAGACTACCCCTTCCCTGCCCAGATGGGCTGGCTGTGATGGGGCGCAGCTGACAGTCTGCCTGCCCCTCCTGTGTCCCTGCAGCATGTGGCTGAGGAGCTCCAGCATCTCCTGCAGTGGCTGATGGGGGCACCTGCTGGGCTGAAGATGAACCGGGCGCTGGACCAGGTCCTGGGCCGATTCTTCCTATACCATCTGCACCTGTGGATCAGTGAGTGCCAGCCCCCAACTCGGCTCCTAAAGCCTGGGCCCCCAGGGGACAGCCCTGGCTGAGTGGGGCCCCGTGCCCTTGGCGTGCGTGTGTGAGGCCCTGCTCTGCTGGGCTGGCTGCCGGGCCAGGGGACGGCCAGCAGAGCAGTCTGTCAGCCTCAGGCACCCCTCGTCCGTGAGGACCCGGGCGGCCGAGACCCATAGCTGACCGTCCCCCATCCCACCAGGCTACATCCACCTCATGTCCCCCTTCATCGAGCGCATCCTGTGGCACGTGGGCCTCTCAGCCTGCCTGGGCCTGACGGTCGCCCTGTCTATCCTGTCCGACATCATCGCTCTCCTCACCTTCCACATCTACTGCTTCTATGTCTACGGCGCCAGGTGGGCGAGTGCTCCCCGCCCCTGCGTGCCCCGGACACTTGTGAGGCTGGGTGGCGGCCGGGGCGGCCCGGAGCCCTGGCCCTGACGCTGCCCGGGGCCCGCAGGCTGTACTGCCTGAAGGTCTGCGGCCTGTCCTCGCTCTGGCGTCTCTTCCGGGGGAAGAAGTGGAATGTCCTGCGCCAGCGGGTGGACTCCTGCTCCTACGACCTGGACCAGGTACCGGGCGGGGCTGCAGGGGAGGGACCTTGCCCCCTGCCCCCTGGCCCCTGCCTCCCTGCCCACTGCCCCCCTGCCCCCCGCCACCCTGCCCACAGCCCCCTGCCCCCCTACTCCCTGCCCCCTGCCCACTGCCCCCTGCCAGGTACTCCCCTGCCCCCCTGCTTCCCTGCCCCCCTGCCCCCTGCCCCCTACTCCCCTTCTGCCTGCCCCCTGCCCCTGCCCCCTGCCCCCCGCCCACTGCCCACTGCCCCCTGCCTACTACTCCCCTTCCACCTGCCCCCTGCCCCCTGCCCCCTGGCCACTGGCCCCTGCCCACTGCCCCCATGCCCCCTGCCCCCTGCACACTGCCCCCCTCCCCCCCTGCCCCCCTGCCCACTGCCCACCACCCACTGCCCACTGTCCCCCTGCCCCCTGCCCCCCCGCCCCCTGGCCCCTGCCCCCTGCCCACTGCCCCC